GGGCCCGACCCTCCGTTCCTGCTCCTTCCCGGGCCCTGCGCTCCCCGCATCCCGCTCCCCGGAGCTTCCCGGCCCTGCCTCCACGCCTCCGCCTTCCTCGGCTTCCTGCCCCGGGCCCGCCTCAGCCCCCGGCCCCGCTGCCGTCCTCGCCGGCCGCAGGCCCGGCTTCCCTTCCGCCCCGCTTCCTCTTCCGCCGTGCCCGGTGCCCGCTTTCCCCTTCCCCTTCCCTCGCTTTCCCCGCGCGACCCTCGCCTCCTGCAGTTCCCTCGCCTCCCCGCCCTCGCCTTCCCGGGGCCCGCGGCTCCCGGGGGCACCCGAGCGGCCCTGGCTGCCCATGAGCGGCCGCGGGGCCGGCTCGACACGCAGCGGAGCCGAAGACGCAGCCGCCGCCGCCGCCTCGAGAGGAGGCGACACCATGTCGGACCGGGTCACATGGGGCGGCGCGGGCCGAAGCCGGGACCCGCCCCTCACGCCTGCATTTCGGGGTGCGAACCCCAATTTGGGCGCTGACATCCCCATCTTCTGGAGCACTAGGAACACCTGGTTGAAGCACATGTCTTCGAGACTCTAACGAGGAACCAAGCTTGGTGGCTCACATCTGTAACCTTGGCGTGAGGCTGGCCATGAGTTCAGGGCCCGCCTGGCCTACAGAGAAAGCTCCTGTCCAAATTGGAAAAAAAAGGTCCCCATCCTAAGGTACAAGAGGAGCCTGTGGCTTCGGGAACCATCTAAGCGGAACCTCTGCCCCCAAGAGGCACCTGCTTGCTTGGCCTTTTGGTTCTGGGAGCGTCCTCTTCCCCCAGGTGATACCTTCTTTCCATAAGCCACAAACCAGACTCATAAAACTGCAACCCATAAGTTGCAAAGTTCCATTGTCATTGGTCTCACAAAGGATATGAACCAAGATCTGTCAGTGTACCCGTATAATTAGACAATATCTGGGGAGGTGAAAACAGCCAGCTAAACCCTGAGTCCATGGCTCCCAGAGTCCATAGCTCCCAAACCAAGCAGCACATCACACATAGCTGACCTAAGTCAGTAGCCATCACATAGGGCAAGTTGATTCTCCAAGATTACATCCAATCCACGTCCCGTACCACCACTAGATCGACTTGAACCAGTCTGGAAGGCTCTGGAAGTACAGACCTATGCTGTTCAACATGGTCTGTGCTGGTCCACTTTAACCACCTGTGGCTTGTGTGTGTGTGAAGGGCACTTTCTCCAGATTCAAGTATGATATAGGCACAAGCAAAATACACACAGCTGATTTTGAAAAGCTAGATAAGAAAAGGAATGAAGTAGCTTACATAAGTTTCTGTTACATGTTGTTAGTAATTTGGACATACTGGAGTGAATTCAGTATATTTAGTGTAATTGTTAGAAAACTCAAAACTATATGCATGTCATATTTGTGGTTCATGTTATTTCTCTGTTAAACGGTACTGGGCTACATAATATAAGATCTGGAAGAGCCAGGCTTGGTGGATCATGCTTATAATCCCAGCACTGGGGAGCCTGAGGCAGGCAGATCTCTGTGAGCTCAGGCTAGCCAGGGTTACATCCTGAGACAAAAAAAAAAAAAAAAAAAAAAGATGAGCAGAGGAAGATGAGTGTCTCTCTTCCTGAAATCTGTGAAAGAAACAAAGTGTGGTGGCACACACCTGTAATGCCAGAACTTCGGGAGGCAGTAAAATCACAATTGTAAAGCCAGCCTGGTCTGCAAAGTAAATTCCATGCCAGCCAAGGGTCCATAGTAAGACTGTCTTAAAAACAACCCAAAAATCCATATAAGAATGATTGGAGAATTTCCTTTTGTGCTGACATCTTAATAGCCATTTTGAAGGCGCTAGAATGGATGAGACATTAGTTCTGAGAATCATTGAAAACCTAAGCGTAGCCAAGGGGAGAACAAGGTAAGCCCCTTCGCTGAGCTACAGAGCTGCAGAAGCATCATGTAACAAGGTCAGACCCGAATCTGGCTTTGCCCTAGAATTACTTTTTGATCTTAACAAAACAACAACAAAAACCCCGCCTCTCTTGGCCTTTTAGTGTTCTCAGTCCGTAGCAGAGATAAATGCCTCTGCTTTACTTTCGAAGGATAAATGAGATGATCCCTGTAAAATGCTTTGAACTCCTCTAAGAAACTTCTCAATGATAGTTACAGGTCAAATCCTGTTACAAAAAAAACACACATGCATACATCCCCTTTAAAAAAAAAAATGCACCAAAGGCTTTGGGCAGAAAACAGTTTCCCAACTCAAGGCCATGGTTGAAAAGAACATTTGGGCATGTTGCTGTCTGGTAGGTAAATGAAGTGGTCAAAGGCACGTTTCAGTACAATCAAAGACTTTAGACTGTCTTTAGAGATCATTTTACTAAATTGGCTTAGTCTCAGGGGTGATACTGTTAGACAAGTGTTAAGATAGAGGCATTGCAAATTGAAATGATGGTATTATTAGGTCAACATTCTGCTGCATTTGGTGCTATCAATGAACTGCTCTGACAAGAAGACAGCTGAATGTAATGTATGTATGGTCTCAGAACCCTATTTAAATTTAAGTAATTTTAAGCTGTTGTTTACATATAGTATAGTTCATCCATCGTGGTTGTTCCTAGTGTTTAGCAGAAGACTTAGAGGCAAATTTTTTTTATCTAACTAACCCAGTAAAATAGCAGGATGAAAATACACAGTTAAGTGAGTACATCTTACCAATTACCCATATTGCCTTCACTGATGACAAACTAAACTGTCCTTTAAAAGTATCAGATCGCAGAGGTAAAGAGATGGCTCACTCACTACAGTGCAGGCCCGAGTGGGACCCCGAACCCCTATAATCCCAGCACTACGTAGGCAGAAACATGAGGCTGTCTGGGACCTAATGACCAGCAAGCTTTAGACCCAGTGAGAGAGCCTGTCTCCAAAATGAAGTAGAGAGCAACTGAAGAAGCCATCTGACATTGACCTCTGGCCTCCACACCTGTACACACACACACACACACACACACACACACACACACACACACACGAACCTGTGCACACAGACACAAATCAAGTTGCCAGCCAGGTGTGGTACAACACACCTAGTAATCCCAGTATTCTGGAGGTGGAGGCAGGAGATTTGGAGAGTTTGAATCCAGCCTCGGCTACCTTGTCAGTAAATAAATAAAAGTGTTTGGTTTTGTTTTAGAACCAGGGATTAAGCCCAGGGCCTCACACATGATAAGCGGTATTCTGCTACTGTGCGATATCCTAAGCTCTTAATTAACTAATTAACCAAAATACCACATACAAATCAGATGAACTACTTGGGTTAGAATTGATGTCTAGGACTGGCCAGGTAGCTGGGTGGGTAGGGGCACTTGCCTCCAAGCTTGTAAACCTGAGTCCCACCCCAAGGGCACACATGGAGAGAATTGACTCCCCAGGGTGTTCTCTGCCCTCCACACATACTGTCATTCCCCTGAGACAGTAATAACTTACATGTATTGAACACTGTCAGCCACTGCCACAGGAACTTTCTGTGTATTGATATAGTGTCCTGCATCTTCCTCTCCACCCCCACCATGGGTTTTTGTGACAGTTTCTCTGTATAGCCCAGGCTGTCCTGGAATTCACAGAGATCCACCTGCCTCTGCCTCCTGAGTGCTGGGATTGAGGGTTTAAACCCTCAGCACTTTAAAGGCATCTATAGGAACGAATATGTTCTTGCCAAAGGACATTTAAAGTTTGGCAGCTCCTTCCTTGTATTCCCACTTCATTTAATTTCTTCCTTAAATTTAGTAACAATGGGCTGATGATAGAGATGCCTACCTCCTACCTCCAATCCTGATGATCTGAATTGGATCCCACAGGGCAGCAAGAGATAATTGATTCCGAAGGCTGTCCTCTGACCTCCACACACAGCCATGTCACATGCACCCACACACAGGCACAAATATCCTTAAACACTAATACATTTAGTATGTATTACATGAACTTCTTCCTTATTTGATTGGGGGAGTCATGAATGGTACAGTACATGTGTGAAGGTCCGAGGACAATTTGCGGGAGTCAGTTCTCTCCCGCCACATGGGTCCCAGGGATTGAACTCGGGTTGTCTGTCATGCTTGGAGGCAGGCACCTTTACCCACTGAGCCTTATCAAGGCTCTATATGAACCGTTAAAATAAATGTATCTCTCTGTGTATATATGCAAAAGGGAGTGTTAAAGAAAAATGCTCATGATGGTTATTTCCTGGTGATACAAATTTTGAATTTTTTCTTTAGACTTTCTATGCTACTTGATTTTTTTCCCTGTAAGCATGTATCAACTTTAAGAAAGTCAATAAACTCTTTAAAGAGAAAAATGACATCATCGTGAGCACCATGTGACAAGGAGTTTGGAGTTTGGAAAGCTAGGTCAGTGCCAGAATGTGTTTCTTTGTGGCTGTCGTCGTTTGGCGGTTTTTGTTGTTTTTATTTGTTTTGCTTGCTTTTTTTTGGGCGGGGAGGGGTTCGAGACGGTTTCTCTGTGTAGCTTTGGAGCCTGTCCTGGAACTCACTCTGTAGACCAGGCTGGCCTCGAACTCACAGAGATCTGCCTGCCTCTGCCTCCCGAGTGCCAGGATTAAAGGAGTGCACCACCACGCCCAGCTTTGAGGGGCCTCACCATGCCTCACTGTGCCTCACTGGCAGGCGAGAACTGGCTGTGTAGACCTGCAGGTCTCTTCTACCTCCACAGCGCTCAGTTCAAAGGCGCGTGCCACCATAGCCAGCCTGCTCACTTGGGTTAGTTGTTCAGGGGTTTTGTTTTAGTGTGTGTGTGTGTGTGTGTGTGTGTGTGTGTGTGTGTGTGTGTGTGTGTGTATTAGTGTGTCTGTGTGTGCATGGACACATGAGTATGTGTGTACATGTGTGCTCATATGTGTAGAGGCCAGAGGTAAACAACAGCTATTTCCCAGTTCTCTCCATTTTACTTTTTGAGACAGACTCTCTCAGTAAACCTGGCGCTCACTAACTGGCAGGATTTGCGGGTCGGTGAACTCCAGGGATCCGCCTGTCTCTGCTAATATATGCACACCATCACATTGACTTTTTCTTGGGTGTGGGCATTGAACTCAGGACCTCATGCTAACACGGCAAACATTTTACCCACAGAGGTATCTTCCAGACTTCTGGAGTTTTGTTTTTGAGACAGTTTCATCATGTAACCCAGACCAACCTCAAGCCTGAAGCTCTCCAGCTTAGCCAGCCTCCCTGCTCAACTGCTGACAGAATTTTTTTTTCTTTCTTTCTTTTCTTTTCTTTTTTTTTTTTTTTTGTTTGTTTGTTTGTTTGTTTATCGAGACAGGGTTTCTCTGGGTAGCTTTGGATGTCCTGGAACTCACTCTGTAGCCCAGGGTGGCCTGGAACTGACAGAGATCCGCCTGGCTCTGCCTCCCGAGTGCTGGGATTAAAGGCGTGCGCCACCATGCCCAGCCAATAGTCAAGTTTTAAGAAAAAAGGCCAAAGGTATTTACATCTAAATGTAA